ARKTTWAAAAAARRARKKAAAWYCCCMWTWAMMMMAAMRRMAAMAAMAARACACACTKAATGTTGATTGTAGTRTATTGATAACTAGAGAAAGGAAAATAACTATGAGTTTTCTCATTTAATTAACACAAACAGAAATCAAGGGCGCATGTGCGGGAATGGATATTAAGGGTGATGAAGAGGTGGGTGGATTCGGCTRAATCTATTGATATGGGCCTCTAAGCAGAGATTCTGCTTTAGAGGTTGTAGCTCAAGAAGAAAGGTGCCAAGTTGTTTTGGGAAAAGATGGTTCACCATGAGGAAGTTGGAAACACCTGAACTCACTGGGGTTAACCTAGAGGAAGGGACTCAATGACTTAGGGAATCCAGGACTCACACCAGTGCCCCACCTCCGACTCTCAGGCCTTTGGCCTCGGACAAAATTACACCATCAGGCTCCTTGGTTCTGGGGCTTTCCCACTGGGGCTGAGCCACACATTGGCATCTCAGAGCCTCCCTATTGCTCACAGCCTCTTGGAGGCAGGGAACTTCTCAGACCCCATAATTATGTGAGCCAGTTCCCCTAATTAATCCCCTCAGATGTCTATCATCTGCCTGTCTGTCTATCTATCTATCTATCTATCATCCCCTATTTATTGTCTCTCTGGAGAAACAGGTTCACAAATACACAACACATTCCCAGGTTCACATAGCACAGCAAATATAACTGTCAGGATTAACTAATAAAACTGACGTCCGTTCCACTTTCCTTTCAGCCTTATCCCACTCTTTATAAACCAGAGGTGGCTGTTTTCTATCTCTGAAGTTGTTTATAGATCARCTCATCTAAGAAAGGGTTGATAAAGAGTTACTCCAGACACTATTCTTTGCCCTTGGCTTCATTCAACTGATTCTTGATTCTTCACTGGTCTCTCAACTTCACAGGCAAGTACAAAGACAAGAAATCAAGTTAGGTAACTTCAATTTATTGTACAATTACCAGCAGTTGAGGCTACATAAGGAGATCATGAGTACGCTAATAATTCATTATACTATGCTTCAATGAGAGGGACAGTGGTTATGGAGCAAAGAATAAAGGCTGGACGAAGAGATGCATATTAGGGAATCTTCACAGAGAAGTTGTTGAAATTTAGAATGATCATTGGGGCAATGGCAATGTGAGGAGCATGCCAGCCGTGTGCCCCTGGTGGGTGTGTGGCAAAAGAGAGGGGCCTGAGCCCTACACTGACTTCTCAGTGACTCACAGGGCTCCTCCATTTAGGCTTAAGATAGGACTGACTCTTTCCTTCTTTTAGAAATAAAAACAGCAACAAAACCATGTGCCTAACTTAATTTTTCTTTACTCTCTTCTACTCAGTCCCCCACTTATTGCTCAATAACCCCCCACACACACCTCATGGCCTCTCTCTCCAAATACCTTTACAAATGTTCCACTCCTCTGCTCTTCACATCCCTAGATGGAATGCCTCTGTGTCTTTTGCATTCATTTATTTTGCTATTTTCTCTTCCCCATCTCTTTGCATACCTGGAGTCTATAAGTCACTGTGAACTTCTCCCAAGCTTACATGTTTCCCTTATTCTAAGTGTGAGTTATTTTCTCTTTGGTTCAGTTTTTTCTACATTGGAATAACTGATATCCTCTGTTTCTCATGCACTTTTTTTTTTAACTAATTCTTACGCCTTCTAGATTTTATCCTTATTTTTTCCCTCATATTATAAGCATATGAAGTTTAACTTGGCTTTCCTTCATCTCAAAATAACTCTTAAGAGTATTAACCTAATTACCAACTCCCTTGTAATTAAACTAAACCTCTATCACCCAATTGTGTTGGACGCCATCAAGCCTTTCCACTGCACTTCTCTCAAGATGCAAGTCTAAAACTGAGCTTCACCTYGGCTATCTGTGAGCCTCTTTCAAACCTCATATTTCTGAACTATTATTTTTTCCAAAATGACTAGGTGTTCTCCTTTCATCTTAGACTCAAACACTTGATGTATTAGTCAAACCCTTGCTTGCTTAACTTTATTCTTTAACTTGTTGGCAAGACCTACTAGTTTATTTGGGTAGACCTTTTGCTACGTGTTTTAGATATGATCACTTCTCTCCATGACCACTCATTTCAATTCACACCTTCGTTATTCTTCCTTCATCACAAATGCCGTACTCAATGTTCTTTCCACTTTCAGGTTTCCTGTTTTTACCTGTCCATCTCACCAGATACCGGTAGCTGAATAAACTCCCCACTACCTCTTCACCAAACACTGTTGAACTACACTGTATCAGTGAATGAACTGGTGATTCAGGAAATATACTRTTATAAAACTAGTGTTTTTTCAAAAATGTGTTGTCATTGAGGGAGCGTAGTATATTTGGATATAGAAAACTGCATATCATGTAAGTCATACGTGTATATGGGTGTGCATACAGGTGGACAGGTGCATATCATACATAACTATAGCTATAAGGAACTCTAAAAAAATAACTAAGAACTAAATATCATCAAACTGTCAAAGTTTAGCTCAACTCTCAGTCCAGCCTCCTCTTTTTCCATCTTTGAAGAGTTAAACAGTAAAAGTCCAGGGATTTCATGTTGGCTTCCCAGAGTGATCGCTTGGAGATCAAGACACAAAATAAGAAAAGTATTTACAAATAGGGGATGATGGTATTTAGTTGATCAGAAATAATAAAAACAAAATATTGCCATTTGAAGGACAAATCTAACATAAAGTGTTAGAAAGACTATGCAGAGAATAGAAATTTTGCCTTTTAAAGATTTTGGCTTTCTGGACATTGTAAATCAAAACGTTCTGGGCATAGGACTCTTAGGAACTTGTGGGAGAAGATGTTTCAATTTTTTCTTCCAACTCACTATAAATTGGTGAATAAATGTTTAATTCTTCATAGAGACGATCATCTGGAATCTGAAAAGGGAAAAATCATTGCAAATCAATCACTAAGAACTGTCCATTTCTAGAAGCCCTGTTCTAGAGGCTCACTTGCATTCCTCCTGACTTCCCAAATCTCCCCTCCTCTTCCTCCTCCCCCTCATCYTCCTCCTCCATCTTCTCCTCTCCGTTCCTCTCCCCTCCCTACCCTCTCTTCATTGTAACCAATCCCTCCATCTCCAGAAAATCACCAGTTCATTCACTGATACAGYGTAGTTCAATAGTGTTTGGTGAAGAGGTAGTAGGGAGTTTATTCAGCTACCATATTGGCTGCCCAACTGAACGCAAAAGAAATCATGTGAGTCAACAACAAGTCTGTGAGATTATTGCCATGTCTGAGCTCTGGTACACCTGCTGTCCTATCTGTCTTTGGGGTAAAGTGATGTTAAAAGGTGGCCAGACTTGAATGCATCAGGAAGGTGGACGCACAGAATGCTTCCTCTGGCAGATTTGATTGTGCATCAGTATGGCTGATTCCCGCCAAAGGTGGAACTCACGGAGGGGTGAGTCAAGCAGTAGTGCAGGTGAAATCATGAATTAGGACATAAAACGTGAGGCTCTGGAGCAGTGAAAGGGAGAAAGTCAAGAAAAAAGGGAAAAAAAAGCAGGGACAACTCTAAGGATTTTCTTCTAGAACAAAAATTAAGACATGCTGTCTGCACATCCATCTGTCATGCTCAACACATCTGAGGTAGCTAAAATTTCTAAAATTACAAAGATCCTATTTCCCAAGCCCTATTTCATAAGCTATTTGCCAGTTCTGAGTGTAAAATGAGATTTAAGACATAATATTTGAAAACAAAAATCAGTGAAATTTTGAGAAACAATCTGGAAATCCCCACTCCTTTCCCCCTCCTCCCCCAAAAAAAAAAAAACTCAGCGCCTATTTTTAAGGGATAAATCAAATTACTTAGCCTGTTGTCCAGGATTTCATGTTAAGCTTCTACGTACCTTATTTCTTTTGAATTCTTCTCCAATCCCATAGATTGTGAGTGACACAGCACTGCACAACCCCAGGATGGTGAGAAACAGCATCATTGCCACAATTTCCTGTTGAACAACAGCCCAAAAGATGGCCATGTGACAGGTGTCCCAAGAGTTCATTCCCTCATAGCAGCCCCTCTCTTTCACCTCCCCGGACATAATCATCTCTTGCAAAGTGACACATCCGTGGGAAAACCAGGAGGCAGACAGTTTCGACCTTGAGGAGTCTGGCCAGGGGTGGGGAGAGGGGAAGGCAGCCTCTCCTTGGACTGCATGTGCCTGAAGAACACTCCCTCCTGAGACAGAGGTTCCCCCAAAAGGACTGTGTTCATGGGAAAGGAGAAGAGGTTTCCTGCTAGGATGGGCACCCCGAATCTCAGCCTTTTCCMGAGAAATACTTACAGTGGTGAAAGAAGCCACGAAGCAGCCGTCATCCCCATGAAGGTTCTCACACTGGCTGATATAAATCCAGTTGTTGCCCAGGTTGAGGATCAGGATGACGATGCCTGCTCCCCCGGCTATGCTGCTGACCGTGTTTGCTCCCAATCGTCCTCGCACCTGGTGACCAAGAAGGCCATTCAATCCTGGGCCTGCACCTGCCAGCACATTCAACGCACTGACCTGCATTTCAGAGCTGGTTGCGTCCAGTAAACTCTGCTTGGTTCAAATTCTCAGTTAAAGCGGGAAATCTTAGAAATGCCACCATTGCTTAATAAGCAGCTATTACTTTCTTGCTGGCACTGCCTTCAACAGGAGCAGCACAAGGGTAGGGATGGAGCTCAGTGGTGGAGCACAAGGCCCAGCCGGGTTCAATCCTCAGCACAACAAATAAACAAACACGAAGGCATGAAGGCACATGGCCTGTCCTCAACGACTCCCCTTAATTAGAAGCTAATTATCTATTTGATCATATGACTATGCTTAAATATTTATAATATATAGTATGTGGGACTTAAAAAAAAAAACAACGAATGTCAAGGCAATTAGACTTCCCTGTATGTTTCCAATCATTATATCCAATGTTTGTTACAAAAAGCTTTCCAACACAAAATAGACTGGGAAAAAAATCACATAGCCACACTCACTATAAGACTGCAGCTGAATAAGCATCMAAAAAACCCAAATAACTCAATCAATAAATGGGCCAATGACCTGAACAGTCACTTATCAGAAAAGGATATGCAATCAATCAATAAATCTATGAAAAAATGTTCATCATCACTAACAATTAAAGAAATGCAAATCAAAACTATGCTAAGATTTCATCTCACTCCAGTCAGAATGGCAGCTATTATGCATACAAACAGCAACAAGTGTTGGTGAGGATGTGGAGGAAAAGGCACAATCATACATTGCTGGTGGGGCTGCAAATTTGTACAGCCAATATGGAAAGCAGTATGGAGATTTCTTGAAAAACTGGGAATGGGACCACCATTTGACCCAGCTATCCCTCTCCTTGGTCTATAGTCAAAGGATTTTAAAACAACACACTACAGGGACACAGCCACATCAATGTTTATAGCAGCACAATTCACAGTAGCTAAACTGTAGAACCAATCTAGATGCCCTTCAGTAGATGAATGGATTAAAAAAAATTTGGCATATATACACAATGGAATATTACTCAATAATAAAAGAGAATAAAATCATGGATGGAGTTGGAGAAGATAATGCTAAGTGAAGTTAACCAATCTCAAAAAAACAAATGCCGAATGTTTTCTCTGATATAAGAAGGCTAATTCATAGTGGGGTAGAGAAGGAGAGCATGGGAGGAATAGACAGACTATAGATAGGGTGGGGGTGGRGGTGGGGAAGGGAGGGGCAGGGGGTTAGCAAGGATGGTGGAATGTGATGTATATCATTATCCAAAGTACATGTATGAGACACGAATTGGTGTGAACATAATTTATATACAACCAGAGATATGAAAATTGTGCTGTATATRTGTAACAAGAATTGTAATGTTGTCATTTATTTTTTTAAAAATCAATTAAAAATTTTTTAAAGACTGCAGCTGAAGATGTATCTCCCTCAAGATCCTACAATTCCATTTTTCTTACCTTCCCAGGGATGAATAAAGACAGGGTTGCAACTCACCAGATGAATTCCATTTTTGTTTTCAGATATAATTGATAAGAGTCCAGAGATAGCAAACTGTCCAAAAGGAAAAGGCAAATAAAAACATGAGTCTCTGCTCTCTACACTGTCCCTTTCCTCCCATCTCTAAAGTCTTGAGTACTCTATAAAGCTACCTCTTCATGTTCCACTTGACCAATATTTCTTTATTCTTATTTCCTATAAAGTGCTTCTCAAAATTAAACATGTATATGAATCCTGTGTGTCTTGGCATAATATAGGTTCCTATTTGTTAGGTCCCCGGTGCAGCCTGAGACTCTTCATTTTTACCTGGCTTCCAGGTAAGGTTGACTTTGACAGTTCATGRGTCACTCTTAGAGCAGCAGCAATCTGGTGCATGAGAGCTGTTATAAACACGATCCTCATTTTATTGCAATTTTAGTATGTGTGCATTCTCTGTGTTGCACTGACAGCTCCCATGCATCTGTGGCACCTCTGGCTCCAGAGGCTAGTGTGCATCTGCCAGGCTCATAATGACTATGAAATGTGCATGAGAAAAGGCTTGGCCAAAACACAAATGGAGAGCACAAATTSAAGACAGTCTCTAGAAATCTCAGATTGTCTATGGGTTGGCCCACACTTAATGAGCTAAATGTTTGCAATGCAAAGACATTAGAGAGAAATTTCAAATAATATATGGGAGAGGTTCAAGGTGATTCTTGAACAAGGATCTGAGTACTGTGGATTTAGCAGAGTGTCAAGCCAGTGTGATATTTTTTAGGGTTAACATATATCCTTGTAAACATACCAACACATTCTGGTGTTGATGCAAAAAACAACATAAATAATTGCACAATAATTATGTGAAGTGAAGGAAGATAGAAAAGAGAACATACTGTATGATTTCAGTTACATAAAACGCTAGAAGGTGCCAATTTAGTTACAGGTATAGAAAGAAGATGAGTGAGTCCTTGAGGGTGGATGGAGAGGAATAAAGGCAGGCAGGGAGGGGTTCTAGAGAAGCCCAAGGAGACTTTTAGAAATGATAGATATGCTCATTATAGTCATGTGCTGACTTTTTTTATGTGCTAACATTTTAATGTGTATCTATGAGTCAAACATCAAATTCTAAATATGTTCAATCTATTGTTCATCAATTATACCTCGATCAAGTTATATTTCCTTGTGATCTCATCCAACCACCCATTTTATGGACAGTCTACTRATTAAAAGAAATACAATGAGAAAGTGCCCAAAAGGATTCCTAGGGCGTAGTAGAAGTTCATCAGATACCTGCTAATCTTCTTACTCTTCCACAATCTTCCCCCCACCCACCACCACCTTCATAAAGATAACTTTTTAAATTATTTTTAAAATGGACAGATAAAATTATATGTAGTCATTGTAAGACCTTATTGATGAATAGTGTTAGGGGTATTTTCCAGGAAAAGAATTTTGGAAGTTTGGTTTCAATTTCTATTAACTAAAAGTCCCTGGACGAAGTTATTTAACTTTTATTATTAGGTTCTGATCTGATAAAAGTATGTTAAAGGTTTAGAACACAGTTAAATGTAATAAGGTTCCTTTATTGTCATAGTTAGTGAGCACTATATGAAAAAGTGCTTTGAAAACTGCAAATACATGTATCTATAGTGCACAAACATGTGAATAATTATATTATCTTAATAATGTAGATAAGTAAGTAGTTATAAAGTAAATAAAATCTGTTCAATTGTTGTTTAATAATTGTTATTTAATTTAATTGTCATTTAAAAATAGTTATTTCAATAACAATTATAAATAGATACTCACAAGTACTGCTCCCCAAAATGGGTAACCTGCTTTAATTGATGAAAATATTTCTTCATCAAAGTCTGACATTTCAAGTACAGAGCAGACAATTATTCCACAACAAAGGCATATGGCACCAATCATAATCTGTGTTACCTAGAGAAAAATGAAGTTTTATGAAGTTGGAAGATATTTTCCCAGAATTGGATTCATGTTCTTGTAATTAGATCAAATATGGGAAATTGCTTTGGTATCTTAGATGGTCCTGAGAGGGAGTCCCAAATGCGAGATTCTTCAGTCATCCCCTGGCCACTGTAAGAGCTGAACTCATAGAAGAACAGCCTACAGTGTGAATGGCCAAAGCGTGTTTCATATCTTTATTGATGGTGGACATCAGCAATTATTCTTTCCAAGTAAAGACAGYGGTTATAATAGTGAATCCTTCATGCCTATCGGTCATTCTCGTCCCCCTAATTTAAAGTCTTCATGAGGGAATGCTTCTGTCCTCCAAGAGGGCCCAACTAGCTTCAACTCTTCATCTACCAGGATTTCTCAGAAGACCTCTCACTCCTCATGAACCCAAGTGAGAAATCATTCGATGGAACCAAATTCCCTTTCCTAGAGCCAAACCTCACTCCTACTGAGACATCTCCACTCACCCCCAGGAATTGCAGCTCTCTCTTCAAAAATGTCAGCCATGTCTTTGGTGGTGGGGGTGCGGTTGGTGTCCCCACCTGGGGAAGGTCACCAGGAGAYACTTCCAAGACCTCGATTTCGGGCGCACTGTGAAATTTAACAGAAATTTTCTAACTCCCTGTACAAAGTCTTTCACTGACAGAAAGCAGAGTTTCATTTATGTACTTTTCAAAACTACCCTACAATTGAAAATTTTTAAAATTTTGTCATTGGTATTTAATTTTAAATGCTTTTGTTTATTTTTTTAATTTATATATGACAGCAGAATGCATTACAATTCTTATTACCTATATAGAGCACAATTTTTCACATCTCTGGTTRYATACATAGTATATTCACACCAATCTTCATTGTAATGATTAAAACATGAAGGCTCAGATGATGCAAGTACCTGATCAAGAAAACTTAAACATTATCTGCATGATCAGATGAAATAATATAGAACAAAAACCATGCCAAGTATTTTCATTCTTAATCCAGGTTTTCTATTAAACTCTTTCCCATTTATCTATGTTTRTAAGTAAAACTGAAAACAATCAAACACATATGTTTACTTTGCATTCCATAGTCCTTGTACCATAGAAATGCACCTGAATGTTTTTTGGGATTTTTTGTTGTTGTTGTTTTTTCGTTCATGACATACAAAAAACTTCCTGTGCACTGAGGACAGTAAAGATAGTGGCTTTGACTGGGCACGATGGCAAAACACCTGTAATTCCAGCAGCTCTGGAGGCTGAGGCAAGAGGATCCCCAAGTTCAAAGCAGCCTCAGCAAAAGTGAGGCACTAAGCAACTCAGTGAGACCCTATGCCTAAATAAAATACAAAATAGGGCTAGGAATGTGGTTCCATGGTTAAGTACCCCTGAGTTCAATCCCTGGTACAAAAAGAAAATGGCTTTGAAGGGTTTATTGGAACTCTATTCCTATTTTCCTCTTCAGAGCAGGACATCACAGCTGAAGGTTCACAAAGGACAACCACGGAGGAGGTCATTTTGTAAATCTGCTGTCCCCAGCACATGTCAGGCACAGAGGCAAGAGATCTACATAAGTCGTCAAACTCTCCTGTCCTATACCCAAACCATGAGGCTCTTGTGTTAGAAAACCAACCCGTCACTCCCAGTTCACAAGCTGAGAGAAAACCCACCCATCGGAAAAGAAGTCCTGGAAAAGTAAAGCAAACAGTGTCCTTAAACCCAGTGTGTCAATCAAACTAGGTGAATCCATGCATGAGCCCACRAAATTGCTTCTATCTGCCCGGCACAGTGACCTTCTGTAACCCAATGAGTGATACCAGAAAGGAATAGTAACCTTGGCTTACCTGGAAGGCTCCTGTGGGTTTGGAAGAGCCAGATCTGCTCTGCTCGTMTTTTCTGGGTCCATTTTTTCATGAACTAAGCTTCCCAGGAAACAATCAAACACATATGTGTRTTGTCACATGGAGGCAGGGTGGACTTCCTCTGACTCGTGGCCTTGAGAGGCAGTTAAAACAGCTCAGCTCCAAACACCGATGATTATCTCCAGCCCCAGCCATTTGTCAAACAGATAAGTTTCCCAGCTGATCATGACCCATGGGGTGGGTCTTCTGAGAATGGAAAGAAACTTGAGAATTCTGGTGAGGAAGAAATATACAACGTGAGGAAGTTTGACACTTCTGGATCAGAATTCTCCTAGGATTTATAGAACCTAAAAAGGAAATATTTTAGTGGGAGTTGAGAAGGTGCAAGAGAATTGTAGAACAGAAAGAGGCATGGCTTTTTTTTGGGGGGGGAGGGTTCTCCAGTTGTGTCTGTCAGAAGTCCTCTAGTCACACCTTCGAAAAGGCCATCTTCCCTGTGTAGTGCACACTCGGTTTCATGTGCAGGTTCAAGGCCTGAGCCGTGTGTGTGTCTGAATCTTCAGATCTGTCTCTGACTTCACTATCTGTTCTCTCTCTTCTTGTCTTTTGGACAGTGTTTATATAATTGTCCGCAGCAGGTAGTCTTGGAAACCACCTGCTGGACAGGTAGAGTTCTAACTCCTGTGACCCATGCTTAGTCGAGTGTGACAGCAAAGAAGTTGTCACACTGAAGACTCCCCGGCCTCCTAAACCATTAGACTGTGCTGTTCAGAGCTTTGCCATGGCGAGACGGTGCCAATGGAAACTCTGGGATAAATGAACTTGATTTAAAAGTCCCATGAGCCAGTCTAAATAGTGTGGGACTAAGCCACATGCCTACATTAGGAGGGTAGAGCCAAACCAACGCACTCATTCTATACAATACCTAGCCATACCAGAGAAAAAGCAGCAGGGGGAATTCATAAAAGGTATGTATTTCTTATATTTCAGGTTAATTATAGGCATAACCTTGAGTGGCTTTTAATACACTGCAAGAGACTACCCTTTACATCCTGATCACCTGTGCTGTTCTGCTGGGGTGTGGCAAAACTTTTCAAGGGAACAAAGATATTTGCATGAACAGACTCTAAAGGACATATTGGCACCTCTTTCCTAACAACATATTACTGACCCAGGGGCCATCTTTCCACCATGTTGGCAGGAATGGGTGGACCTAACAAATAGGCTACTTGAATGAAGAAATAAACCTTATTCATTTATACATTTRTCCAAAAAGACTGTGCTCCATGCCAGGCACTGATGTTATCACTGAGCAGCACAGAGGGAGGTGTGGCTCCAGCCCCATCAGACCCACAATCTAGCAGAGCAGAACAAAGATAAGTGATGTAATGTGACCCAATAGGTCAGAGGTTAGGGACTGTTGGAACAGGGAGGAGGGTATAASAGCTCTGTCTGACGGGGAGATGGAGATCCAGGGAAGGAATTCCCTGGGAATTCTTCGAGCCCAGACTTAAACTGAAAGACTCAGGAGTTTCATTTGCTTGCCTACCCTCAGTGAAGTCACCCACATCTGTTGGGGAAAGTCCTGAAATCGGTTATTTATGGTGTCTCCTATTTATGCGATACAAATAATCGGGAATCAGATTTGAGGGATGGAAACAAAYTGAGAATGGTCTTTGTGTTGGGACACGATGCTACTCTGAGAATTTTCAACAGGACCTTGAAAAATGTAAATCAGAAGCTGATAGGTAACTTARGACCTCCCAGTTGTTTCATATCCCAATCTTATCAGCACCTTCATCTTGTCCCTGGGATGCCCATCRCCTTCTGTGCCCACACATTGGATTCCCAAAGCTATGGTCTTTCACCTTTCCRAGCAGTGAATATTGAAACACAGGACAAAAATGACTTTTCTTTTTCTTTGGGTTGGGGCAAAATTATCAAGATGAGTTTTAACCATACCTCTGCCTGAACGGAAGAGATAATCGAGCTAACCTTCCTCCCGCCATCTCTCTCTCCTCCTCTGGCATAAGCTTTGCACACGCCTTCTCCCCAGGCTCCATCTCTGGCTCACTCAGTTACTTATGCCCTAGATTTATTTCCCCAAACTCAAATGAAATTTGCTTTCAGATCTCACATGAACATTTTTTTCTCCAATCAAATGCTCAATTTACTTACAATAAATGTGCATTGCTTTGCATGTTATAATTTGTAAGTAATACTAGCTCTTAGAGAGTATTTTCAGATGCTCCCAAAGGAACCAGTTTCTGTCCCTCTTGCTCCCTCTTCTTCCTCCTTCCCTCCATCTTTTCCTTCTTGTCTCTCAGTCTCATTTCTACATAGCAGGGCCAAGTCTGGTTTAATCAATACAGTTAAGAGACTAAGGGAGCCAGAGACCAACACCAACCTCCAATGTCCCATGGATAACAACATGGTTACAAAAATAAAAAAGATGAGAAAATGTTGTTTCACAAAATGATAAATTATTCTTAAAGACATAGTGCCATGTGCAAACTTGAAGGAAAACCTTTTGTCTCTTCATTATAGGGTAAGATTCACATAGACCAGCTCCTTGAATCTTGGTGTAATTGGAGTTTATTAATTGTTGTAGCCTGTGTGACCAATTAACACAGTGATTGTCCAATTCATGGGAATTCTTATTGAGTCATATCCATCCCATCTTCCAAAATGATGCTTTTCAGAAAGAAATAACAAGCATCTAATATATTTGTTTTCTTGTGTACAAGAACACCTGCTCGACGGGGAGAGGATTATAAAACAGAACTGCAGGCAAGGTGTCCACATTAGCTGTCCTACTCCTGTCGTGGATGACAACGGTGTTAGCTTTCTTAATCCGTTCTTTCTCCCTCCCCCCATAATCTTAATACAGTCAGATCTGAAGGTCTGGTCAAATCCATATATTTTCAAGATAATTCCAAAACTTTTAAACAACTTATTAGCTTGTTTTTAAAAGCACATCATTTAATCTTAGATTATTGTTTCTATTAATCCCCAGAGGAAAGAAATACATGATGTTAAAATAACAAATAGCATGTATTAATTTTATAGGATGGTCAGTAGCTGTGTATTTTTTTTCAGTTTCTTTATTAAAAACTTMTTTCTTCTATCTTTATGAAACTTTTACTATACAGCAAACATCCAAAATATTTCTTTTTAAATTTTTTTTTCACCTATTTCCTAATCATTTATCTCTTCTTTCTTCTGGGAGAACTTTCCATTATTTACCTTCTAAAGTCTTCTTGGTTTTTCTTTTTTAATGTTTGTTATAATTTTCAAAAGTTTGTTCTCTGTTCCTATTTTCTTAACTACAGGCCTGATTTCCAGGTTCTCATAATATGACTTCTTCTTCTACCTTTCAGTGAAGCCTCCRTTGTTGAAGACTGGACAAGAGCTTCCCACTCTTCAGCCTTACCTGCTCCGGTGGCACAACGTGTCTCATTCCCTTTAGAACTTCCGAGGCGGGAATTTGCACTTGACTTTCCTTCTCTCCACTCATTAATTTAGACACCTTTCATTTAATTTCACTTTTAAACATCCACTTGCACCAAAGATAAAGATGTAGTTTCTTTTTTAGAATTTATTTATTCTCATTTGTTATACATGACAGCAGAACACTTTTCAATTCATAGTACACATAYAGAGCATGGTTTTTCATATCTCTTTTTGTACACAAAGTAGTGTCACAGCATTCGTGTCTTCATACATGCACTTGGGATAATGATGGGCATCTTATTCCACCATCTTTCCTACTCCTATGCCCTCTCCCTTCCCCTCCCTCCCCTTTGCCCTATCTGAAGTTCCTCCATTCCTCCCATGMCACCCCCCATTCCCCATTATGGATCAGCATCCACATATCAGAGAAAACATTTGGCCTTTGGTTTTGGGAGATTGGCTTACTTCAYTTTGCATTATATTCTCCAACTCCATCCAATTACCTGCAAATACCATGATTTTATTCTTTTATTGCTGAATAATATTCCATTGTGTATATATGCTACATTTTCTTTATCCATTCATCTATTGAAGGGCATCTAGATTGGTTCCACAATTTAGCTATTGTGAAATGTGTTTCTATAAACATTGATGTGACTGTGTCCCTGTAGTATGCTGTTTTTAAGTCCTTTGGGCATAAACCAAGGAGTGGGATAGCTGGGTCAAATATTGTAGTTCCATTTCAAGTTTTCCAAGGAATMTCCATATTGCTTTCCATATTGGCTGCACCATTTTGCAGTCCCACCAGCAATGTATGAGTGTGCCTTTTTGTCCACATCCTCACCAACACTTACAGTTGTTTGTATTCTTAATAGCTGACTGGAGTGAGAGAAATCTTAGAGTAGTTTTRATTTGCATTTCTCTAATTACTAGAGATGTTGAATATTTTTTCTTATATTTGTTGATTGATTGTATATCATCTTCTGAGAAATGTCTGTTTGGCTCCTTGGCCCTTTTGATTGGGTTATTTATTTATTGGTGTTAAGTTTTTTGAATTCTTTATAGAGATTAGTGCTCTATCTGATGTGTGTGTGGTAAAAAAAAAAAATTGCTCCCATTCTRTAGGCTCTCTCTTCACCTCACCGATTGTTTATTTTGCTAATAAGAAGTTTTTCTGTTTCTTGTCCAGTTTGATTTGTTGATACAATTTCAGGAAAGAGAAAAAAATCATCCTTATTCTGTCATCTAATATGGAGAAGCTTTAGTGAAGTATTAATAAAAGAAACTTAGAGCAGTAAAAAAAATAGTACATGTATTTTTCAAGGAAGATTCAAAGAAAAGAAAAATARCTTTAAAAAAAGAAAGAAACAATTGTATGATCACTAAATGAATTCACTCAAAAAATGAGAGAAAAGAGGAAACGGTAGTGGAAATCATACATATATATGCATATGTACATTTACATATATATGTACATGCATATATATGACTTTTTTCTAATTGAAGGACAATAATCTATATTTAAGGATCTTTCAAGCATCTACAAATATAAGAGAATAAATTTATATATGGTGTCATGTTGCCATAAGAATTTTTAAATTTAAGTAATAAAGATCCTTAAAACTTTCACAGAGTAGGAAATATGTCATATCATAAGGAAATAAATGGAAATGACTCAGATACTTTTCCACCACCTGAGTTAGAAAAAATTAATTCTAAATTATATATTTCAATATAGAGTTAAATTATCAGTCTCAATTAAATTAACCAAAACTTAAATTATCCATCAGGTGTGGAYTTAGAATAAATAATACTGAAAATTTTTAAGCCAAATTTTACCCCTCCCATTGTTAGGTATGTTCTGGAAACACTGGAAAGCAAGCTGGCAGAGGAATGCATGGAGTCCACACAATGTCCACTGTTGGGATCCTTTACAATCTAAGTGCTGCCTGGACTCGCTGCTCACACTTTCTGTTAGTGTCCCACAGGCTACCTCTTTGTCTGACATCCACACCACTTGACTAAAACTGACCAAGTCAAGGTCAACCAACACTCAGACCTTGCCTAGCTCAACCTCTCAAGTTCATCTCTCCTTTTAACTCCATTTTCATTACAGTCTACCTAATGTTCTTTCTACCTTATGAACTGATCTTCTCCAGCTCCTGAGCTGGTTCCTCCATCTTCTGCTGACCTTTGTATTTTATCTTCCCCTTCCCTCTGGCTAAAAGCATGATTCTTGGCTTCTATGTCTTTCCTAACTACACTCACTCACGAGGGATCCCATTCATTCCCTTAGTTTTATACGCTGTCTCCACAGTGATGATATGTCAGCTTTTGCGTTCAATTCAACCTATCAGTTGTGTGTCGGACTTTTTGGATAGTCAATTGCAAACTCATCCTATCCACCTGGGCACTTAATACACATCACAAACAGAACCGATTCAAAACAGAACTCTTCTTGATTCCAACTCTGGGTATGTCCACCTACCAAAACTCCATAATTCCACCTCACCTACTTTAGTCTTCCCCATTGAAGACAGCTTTAATTTCTGTTAGCCCTAAAACATATAAAGTCCATTTAGCAAAAGATCGATTACACACTGGAGAAAAGAAGTACTTAGCAAAACATGTGAAAGTCACATCTTTTGTACATAATATAAAAATATTTCCAAAAAATTAATAGGAAAGAGACAAAATATGATAGAAAGTAGCAGGCACACGAGATAATAATATATAGAAGAAGGAAACTAAATGCCCAGTAAATGTGTTGTCTCACTATTTTTCAGGGAGTGTATGTTAATATAAAATTATACATCAGTTTACTCTCAGCTAGGCATAAATCTATAAGATAAAATAATTATCCAGTACTAGTGAAAAGGAGGACAATGCTACATATTGCTAGTCAGTACATATTGCTAGTCAGATGATTTGTTTTAGCATTTTAAAAAAACATTTTAAAAAGAATCCTTTATTAATTAAAATACAAATTGTCCTTTGGCTTAAAAGTCTTATTTCAGAGATTYTGTCTCAAAAATAAAAAGAGCATTAATTTGTGAGATTTGTAAGCAGATATTAATTCAGCATTATATAGTCTAAAGCAACCAGAATGAAAGAAAAAATAAGCAATATAATTATATATAACTACTACTACAAATAAAGAGCATGATAATATAGATTGGATAATTTTTTTAAAAAATAGTATGATATTTGATTATAAATATTTTTAGATAATTCAATTCTTCTTGCATCAGTATCAAACTTACACAGGATATTACTCTGTTTGTTCGGGCTTCATTTGAAGTGTTTGACATGATGAACAAAATAACTTCAATGAAAAATGGGGCAAAATGATTCAAAATAACAACTTATAATTTAATCTACRAATTTGTAACACAATGCCAAATATGTGGAACTCATTATTCATTGAATGGATGGATCAATAAATCAACCATCATTTCATGGATTTCCCAGTTTGCTGGTAAACTCTGAGACAAGAAGATAGGACAAAGTCCATAAATATCAGTGTCTTACAAGTTATAAACTTCAACACCTTCTCAAATTGTTCATGTACCATAAGAATTGGGTRGAGACAGTTCATTAGGATTTTCCATAAGATTCTTTTTGGAGAAAGCCCTTACTGGGAATATTTTTAAAAGCAATACAAATGAATGAAGCAAAGCCAAGACAGGAGAGAAATTATTTGCTACAAGCATCATTTGTACAATAAAAGTGAAATTCATGTCTTGTTGAGTCAGAAGTGTAAATTCAATTTCAGGTGTGGTTAAATTGACTTCCATTTTCTGAATTTCTCCTGTGTGGCCTTCAGCTAAATTCTTAGGCTATCTTATCTCATGGCCTCCTAATAGCTACGATTTCTACTCATAATTTAAATTCACATATTTTATGAAAAACAAAGTCATAGTTCACATATGTGGTGATGATCACTTTTTATTTGACAATTTTTGTAATGCTGCTGTTGGCTAAAGTCAAGAAGAATATTTCTGTGCTGCAAAAATAAATCTGACTCATCTTCCTTCCTACTAGGTTGTCTGAAATGAGATTTTAGGAAGAAAACATGAAATAGTGCTTATCATAGCTCCTTTCCTTAAACCTCATAAAACGATGAAATAGGAAGAAGAAAGAGAAATAATTTTTAAGGAATGACTTTGGCATAGTGATAGTAGAAGTTACAAATCCATGAATTCATAAAGAAATACATTGATTCATCCATACCTAGAACACACTAAAGACATTTATGATTAGGACAGAAAAGCCTCAGTCCAAGTTTCCATGAGATTGGTGCCATGAGAGAAGAATTGAGTTTCATCAGCTCATGTTTTCCTGAGTTCCTGAATGAAGCTCTGATTCCTTGGAGATTTGAGGTTAAGTTTTGATGCTCTCRGAATTACCTTCATTAGGAGGTATTCCTGATTCCATAGAACTGGGAAGTGAAGAAATTTCCTGCAAAACAAAACATTTGTCTCTAARAATAGGATCACATCTCCTCCTCCCATCTCTTCCTGTTACCATTAAATCATCACTAATAATATTCATCCAACTTATTACTACTTGGATAAAGATGATGTGCACAGTCTTCAGAACAAACATCAGAAGAAAATGAAAAAAAATATTTTTTTTATTTTAAAGTTAGGATACCTAAAATCTAGGGAAAATATGTGATTTTTTTCTACAAAAATCATATAGCTAGAAAGTCACAGGTTAAAATGAAATAATTAAAATTAACTCCAGCTGCATAAAAAAGCATCCTCTTATGTATTAAATACGTTGTTTCCTTTGCATTTTCACATTTGAGTTCTTTTCTGTATTTCATTCCGTCTCCAACATTGATGCAATGTCTAACTCCTGGAACCCCAAGAAACATTGCCACATCAAAGTTTCTTTCCAATTCTTCCAGAAATAACTTCAACCCTAGACAGCAATCTGCAGACCAGGCAATTTATTCGTCATTTAAACAAACCCACCTCTCTTGAATTACAGCAGTTTCCTTTGCACCACATGGCTGAGAGGGAGATAGTTATGCACAATTCCAGCAAAGTGAAGATGAGCATTAAAGACACCAAGCCCTAGGGGAGATGGTACCTCACATCAAACACAATGGAAACATCCTCAGGAAAAATCTGTCAGCAGGAAACCAGACAACAGTCTCCCTCCCACAAAATGCAACAAAGATAATCCCAAATTAGATTTAAGACACAAACTCTGTAGAAAGGCTGCACTCTTAATTCAGCAGCAAGGGAACATTTTCCCTGGAGAGAGAAAGGTGAACGATTTGTATATAAATTCAAGTGAACTAGTCATGGGAGAGGGATCACAGAGGCAAAATTCTAACACTATTGCTAACATTGCTCAGTTAGAAAAGAACTAAACTAAGGAAATGAGTAGGTAATTTAAGAAAATGGAGAAAAGTGATCCCTTCTCTGTTTTATCAATAGCACCTCATAGCTGTTTGGGCATTTACGTTATCCTTAGAAACTAAAGCAAAAAGCTGGTATAAACACAAAGTAAACATTGTTGGTTTGCTAGTGATCTTTCTATATCACTGAGGCACTTAGAAGAAATACAATTACAAACTTTTCTGGAGGAAAAATGCCACTAAATCCAYAAAAAAGTCAAACTCAGGTAAATATAAACTTAGATAATTTAAAATTTAATAAAGAAAAGGCAGACACAGATTTCTATGATGATGCCAGAAAACAGGAGGATCAGGGATGGATAAAAAATAATTTGGCAATCACTGGGCTGCACTCAACACACTTGAAGGACAATATTAATTTCTAAGTTGACTTCAAAGAGGTATAATATCTAAAACACAGACCAAAAAATCATGTGGCAGCCTATTAAAGAGCTTCYTTTTCAAAACATCATAACTCGGAAACTCAGAAGTGAAGTCAATCAAAACTTTTCAGACTTCAGAGAAAGTTGTATGTCTCCCAAGTTTGCTTTATTAAGCAAAGATACATGAGATAAAATTTTTTTTAAAAAAAATAGCATAATAGAATTCATTGTAATGTCAATAATAATATAACATGATGTGCTAAGTATTGCCTTCATTGCTTTTCAAATATTATTTCATTCTTACACTAACCCTATGATTTTCCTCATTTTAAGAGTGAGAAAATTAAAATACCAAACTTATTTAATTTTCCCTTCATTACAGCACTAATAGGCAGCAAAGACAAATTTAAATCAAGGTAGCATAATATATGACATATTGTTTTCTGTACATTTTGAAATGTTTAAATTATCTTCTATGAATAGACATAGTTTTAATTGCCTACATTTGATGAGGAACCCAGGTAATTGCATAAATCTGGAGACCGGGAAGACTGACAACTCCTGAGGGCCTGGTTATTTAGTACTAGATGTATTAAGAGAAAAACGATCCCAACTAAGGCAATTGTAGCACTGGCGATGTTCATTCCAAAACTGTTTTGCATCTAAGAAAGAAAAAGAACTTTCCATTAATATATGTGGCCCTCTTTTATCCCTCGGCAATAAATTGTTTCTACAAATATTGACTGATTGACACCCAACAATATTCTAGATGCAGGACAAACATGAATGAACAAAACCCCCCACCACCCATGGAGCTTCTGTGCTAGGAATTAAGATAAAGGAAACGATAAACCTACTAATAGGAAATATATATAGTATTTCGAAGCAATGAAGTACTTTGGGTTAATAAAATTATGTAGGGAGAATCTGAAAATCCAAAAAAAAAAAAGGAGTGGAGATTTGTGATATTAAATGGGAATAAATGACACGTGGGGAGAGGACCAAAGAACTTATGTTACTCCAGATGTCTGAGAAGATGCATAGGGAAATGTCCAAACAGTCAGAAACACTCGTTCACAGCCCCAAGGCCACAGTGCTCTAGGGAAGCCAGGTGACCAAGGCCATTGGAGGCAAAGAGAGAAGATTAGGAAACCAAGACAGAAAATAATGGAGAGCCAATCACACAGGGCCCGGTAGGTCCTAAAAGGATTTTGGTTCTAACTTTGAGAAAAATGCAATGCTACTAGAGGATTTTGAGCGAAGGGGTCATAGATTTATTGCTAAAGGGCTCACTCTATCATGGTTGAGAGTAAAGACAGGGTCAGGAACAGACTCTGTGAGCCCCACGAGGAGACAGGTTGGTAGATGGGATGTAGGGTCATCAGTAGAGAGAAAAACAAAGCTTAAACTCCGACCAAGCTTGGAGGCAGAGCCCACAGGGCTTGCTGACATACTGGATTCAGGATTGTGACAGAAGAGCCAGGTAAAGTTTCAGGCCTTTCATCTAGTAACTGGGAAAGATGGAACTCCCGTTGGCTAACATGCAGAAGACTACATGGAGGTGGATTCGGGAGGAAGATGCAGAATTAGGCTTTGGACCTTTTTGATATYTAAGTGGAAGAAGGCAGATATGCCAAACTGATGCTCAGGAGAAAAATCTAGTATGGAAATATTTGCCTTGGGGTTGTGGGGTATAGAGATGTTATYTGAAGTCATGAGAAAGGATGAGATCACCAGAGGACAGAGTACAGGTTGAGAAGAGCAGGTGGCAAGGAATCGCACACTGAGGACCCTAACACCCAAAGATCAGGCACAAGAAAAGGAACCAGGAGAGGAGATGAGAAGGCGAACCCAGAAGACAGGAGGAAACCAACCAGTCAAGGTGGAGGAGAGGCCAAGGGAAGAAATTCCTGGAGGAAGAATGAGTGGCCAGCTGTGCTAACCATTGTCATCATTAAGTCAGATGAGGACTGAGGATTGCCCGTTGTTTTAGCAATGTGGAGGTTTCCAGTTACAGAGGTGTGGTAGGGAAGAAAGTAGTCTTACTAAAGYAGGTTTGGGTCAAACTGTGTGTGTTTGTATGTGTATGTGTGTACATTTACTTAAATATATATATATATGTATATATATACATATGTATATGTATATATATACACACACATATAGACATTTTTAAGTAACTARATGCTCATATACTGATTTAGAAAGATCTGGTAGAGAGACATAAACAGGAGTGATACATTTCTGTGAGGAAAAACTAAAGGAATATAACACTCAGGTAGAAGAATCAGCTTTAAAGGAAACCAGAGAGTTCACCTATGCCAAGAGGCTCGAATAAGAAAAATATCGATGCAGATCTACTCCACAGAGTAGGGGTTGTAGTGGGGTCTGAAAGCTCTCTTTCGATGGCTTCCGTTTTCTCAGACTCTCAGAACAGAGAGCAACAGAGAGTGGAGGTGTAAGAAAAGGGCCTGGTGTTTGAAGATGAATATTGTTATGGCTTAGATTTGAGGTGTCCCCCAAAAGTTCATGTGTGAGACAATGCAAGAAGGCTTAGAGGTGAACTGATGGGGTTATGAGAGCCTTAACCCAATCAGTGAATTAATCCCCTGAGAGGGATTCACTGGGTGGTAAGTAAAGGCTGAAGGATGTGGATGGAGGAGGTGGGTCATTGGAAGCTTGCCTTTGGAATATATATATTTTCTATCTGGTGAGTGGAGTCTCTCTCTCTCTCTCTCCGCTTCCTGATAATATCCTGAGCTACTCTCTTCCACCACACTCTTCTGCCATGATGTTCTGCCTTACCTCTAGCCCTGAGGAATGGAGCCAGCTACCTTTGGACTGAGACCTCTGAAACTGTGAACCCCCAAATAAGTCTTTTCCTCCTCTAATTGTTTTTTTGTCAGGTCTTTTGGTCACAGCAGCAAAAAGGCTGCCTAAAACAAATATGACAGTAAAATAGTCATCGAGGGAGGAGGAAAAGTGAATGCATGGAATAGGAATGTGGAATATAAATGGCTGGGGGACTCAGCGAGAGCACATAATAGAGAGCATCATTTAATCAGTGACTAAAGGAATGGAATTTCTCACTCTCCGTTTCAGGAAATCCTATTCTCAAAATAATTAGAATTGGTTAAACCAAACTCACAAAAACCAAGAAGCATTTTTATGAAATATTTTGTAACCATCCCAGATAGACATGTCCACAATTTATATGACTTTCTGAAACCCTCTATCTGAAATGCTCTAAGAAAAGAACCTTAATTTTCTGGTACATTAAATGACTCAGTGTGATTCGTCAACCTCTATCTTTCCACCTGTTTGTAGATCATTTATTTTCAGTCCTGTATTCATAGAGAAAAGAACTGCCACTTACCAGCATTCTTGTGGATTTTCTCCCTGCTACAACAGTCAAGGATCCTGAACTAATAAACTGAAAATGGGAAGTAAAGGAGATAGAGAATATTAAGTCTCAACCATGTGCTTCTTGGCCTTCTCTGAATTAGTGGATGCCTAGCGTTAGTTACACAAACCTCATTTCTAATCTCACACGCTAGAACCAAAATTATACTTGATGTTGCTCATTATTTTATACAACTAAAATTTTAAAGTAGTTTGTATTTTAAGCAAGCTTATCCTCTTTTCATTTTGTTTTAYGTCTGGCTTTGAACAAGTTTTTGTGATTATAGACACTTTAAAAACATATATACATTTAGTTAATTCAATAGAATTATAGTTATGTTTATGTTTATATTAAGTATATGAAATTATATATGCATGCATTTAGAATATGATTYCTCATATTTCTACTCAGGCTGCAGATAAATGTCTGAATTATTGGACTAGATATTCCAAGAGATATTTTATAAATCTAAGTGTCTTTATCTATGTACCCTATAGTTTTTAAATCYTTAATAATAATCCTATTTCTGTGATACTAATTTTGATACACTGAATTCTCACAATAGTTATGTTTTCTTAACTTTTATCATTTTTAATTCCTCAGTCTCACCACCCTTCACCAAATCATTCCTGTRGATTGAGAGAAAAGTTGCCAAAACCATAGAGAGAAATCTTGCTTCTTAAAATTCAGCTATTGGATTCCAACTGAACATGCAGGAACCATCTATGGATTCTGCTTCACATAAAGAAGCAGAAGTTATCACAGGACCCTCCTCAGCCCCTCTGTAAGAGCAGATGCTCTGTGTCCCCATCCCTGCTCTCTCTCACATTTGTCCCGTCACCTTGATCAAATCCCTGCCAAATCACTCCCCACCTGTTTCTTCTTCTGCAAAATGGAGGTGTGTGCATCCCCATTGTTGAGATCACCTACCTGATAGCAGTGTGGAGATAAAATAAAATGATACATAAAAAGGACTTAAGTATTTGCCCAGCACACAGAAAACATCCAAATTGTCAATGATAGCTAAAGTTTTTATATACATTTTTGCATTTAATTCTAGAGATCCAGAGAGGGTCCTCATGCGATTTTTACCATCCTGGTGAGGAAACTGAAGGGCAAGAGCTCATGTATTTTCTGATATCACACTGCTCATCAAGATGAGCCAGAGAGAGATGAGAAAATAGAAAGGATCATGTGGTCAGTACATGACAGGGCACGGACACATTGGGGTGAGGACCAGGCTGTGGCTGTAGGTAAAAGCAGGCACAGAGGGCACATCATAGACCTTAGACTGTGCTCTGCAGTGGTATGGACCAGAGAGAAGCTTCCAGCAATTGTCAGTTTTGAGTCTTAATGTTGATGATGTTAAAATGAGAAAAAAAAAMAAACACTATCCTCACTGAAACACTGCAATCAGTATTCTCTTTTCTACAGTACAGTATGGAAATCCACCATTTAGGTGGTCAGGATTTATTATGCAAAATACATTTAGAAAAATTCAGAGCTTAACTAGCATCAAAATAATATTATCTAAAACATGTTTTGGACTGTACCCAGAAATAGTATATAATATTTTCTCAGAATATGAACTCTGATTTTGATCAAGAAATAGCCACATTAAGAGCAATCTTTTTCTGTGGTTGTTGTTGTTTTTAGCAATTTCATTTTAAAGGAGAGCTAAAGTTTGGAGATTTGGGGAGAAAAAAAAGGAATGAAATATTCATTTTTAGAAGTTTTTTTCCCTTCATTTGCCAATAACTGTCCTATTCACGACTTTCAATTAAATATCTCCATCTTACATTTTATAATAGCTGCTTTATTTTTTAAGTTCAGTTCAGAACTGGACATAGGTAACTTGTCAAAGATCTAGCACTAGGGATAAACAAGCAAATAATAATGATATTARTAATAGTAAGTAGTAGCAATGGCTGATTAAGAGTTTCTATTAGCCACTTTAAAAAATGAATCTCAGGCAAACAATAATCAAATAACAAAGATGAACGAGTAAATTCCAAAGATCACGTAGGCCCCCATCTATGGATTCTGACTGAACACGTAGGAACCATCTATGGATGGGGTTTTTGTTTGWTTGTTTGTTTTTCTGAATACATTTTGACCCAGATAAGGGAAATGGCTCTTCTGATTTTCCAACAGTGATCCAAAAAAAAAATTTCTTATCGCCCAAGCCTGGACTCCCAGCTGAACCACAGGGCAATACTCATTCACCAGTACTCATTTTTCATTGGATTCTGTTAGTATCCATAAATTTAACCTCTAGATACTAAGTTCCTGTTTGGGACTTGAATGTGCTTAGCAAATACAATTTCTTGAATCAGAAAGAAAGGGACTTCTTTTCACCTTGCTTATGTCCAAAACTATAATTTAAAGCCACMGTATGTAGCCTTCAAACGACCTTCAAATGACCTACAAACAACACTTTCATAACCAAACATAACCAGCCTCTTAATTCAGAATATAGACTATGAACTTGAGGGAGTTCATGCTTCTAGCTGTTGCATCTAAGAAATGATCAAAGAATAGCCAGGGGGAAAGGGATACTCACAAGCACAGCGCCATATAGTGGATACCCTGTGTAGAACGTGAAAAAAAAGAAGTGCCTGAAGAAATGGGTCAGGAACTCTGAGGATCCCAGGAAAACGCCCAAAGCCAGAATCACCACTCCATTCAGGATCTGCACCGCCTCCAGGAAGAAAAGCAAAAGACAAAACACCATTTTAGCTTCCTTCAGAAAGAAGAGATCATGGCTTCCAGTGGTCAAAATATGAAGCCTAATTGCTAGCGATGAACATTTTTTCATATATTTGTTGATTGATTGTACATCCTCTTCTGAGAAGTGTCTCTTCAGGTCCTTGGCCCATTTATTGATTGGGTTATTTGGTTTTTTTGGTGCTTAGCTTTTTGAGTTCTTTATATACCCTGGAGATTCGTGCTCTATCTGATGTGTGAGGGGTAAAGATGTGCTCCCAAGCTGTAGGCTCTCTATTCACCTCACAGATTTTTCCTTTTGCTGAGAAGAAATTTAGTTTGAGTCCATCCCATTTATTGATTCTTGATTTTAATTCTTGTGCCAAAGGAGTCTGATTAAGGAAGTTGGGGCCTAATCCCAATATGGAAAGCAGTATGGAGATCCCTTGGAAATCTGGGAATGGAACCACCATCTGACCCAGCTATTCCTCCCCTCGGTCTATACCCAAAGGACTTAAAAACAGCAGACTATGGGGACACAGCCACATCAATGTTTATAGCAGCACAATTCACAATAGCTAAACTGTGGAACCAACCTAGATGCCCTTCAGTGGATGAATGGATAAAAAAAAATGAGGCATATGTACACAATGGGATATTTACTCAGCAATAAAAGAGAATAAAATCATGGCATTTGCAGGTAAATGGATGGAATTAGAGAAGATAATGCTAAGTGAAGTTAGCCAATCCCCAAAAAACAAATGCTGAATGTTTTCTCTGATATAAGRAGGCTGATTCATAGTGGGGTAGGGAGGGGGAGTGTGGGAGGAATAGACGAACTCTAGATAGGGCAGAGGGGTGGGAGGGAAAGGGAGGGGGCAGGGGGTTAGAAATGATGGTGGAATGTGATGRTCATTATTATCCAAAGTACATGTGTGAAGACATGGATTGGTGTGAACATACTTTGTATACAACCAAAGATATGAAAAATTGTGCTCTATATATGTAATAAGAATTGTAATGCATTCCACTGTCATATAAATTAAAAAAATATGAAGCCTAAATAAGCTGGGCCAGAGCATCTCCTAGGAGGTTCTTGTTCCACTCCATCCCCATCAATTCCAGTGGCAAGACTTCATCGTCATCTGTCCTCCTCCCCCCCTTTTCTATTCATTCTCACAARGTCTAACTCAAATAAAGGAGCAGAAGAACAACGCAGATGTGCTGGAAAGACAAGAGTCCCAGTACCTTCCCAGCAAGCTTTGGGGTCACAAGGCGAAGGAGGCAGACAGATGTTAAGCAGTATTCTGCTCGGCCTTTCTCTGAACGAAGTTTTCTTAATTCAAAATATAGACTATGGAGCTCAGCCTYAGACCAAGAATGAAGGGGGCCGTGGAGTCCTTCCCCCACGGTGGGACAGGCTGCTTTCTGCCATTAGAGGAGGCCTCTCCATGGCTGCTTCTCAGGTCGGATGTGTCTCAGACTTTTCTTCATCGTTGACTTAGTGATGAATCACTCAGAAACTCCTCCTGTTGGCCCTGCACAAAGGTTTCCACATGACGATTGTTTTCCTTTCCTTTTAATTTCTAAACGAAGGCTGACTTACCCCAAGGGCCTGCAGGACTCCCTTCTGGTGATCCTGGGATCCCTCCATGAGCTGGTAAGCAGAATTATTCACACACTCTGGTTGGGCCTGGCCGCCCAGGGTACTGCCTGCAGAGACCCTGGGTGGCTCTGCCTTGTTCCCTTCTTCAGAGGCCATTTGGGGTTGTTTACGGCTGTCATGGAAAAGAAATCCAAAAGCTTAAAGTTTTCCCCTTTGCCACGTGCTAATAATATTTTTGGTGTGTTGGAAGAGTTCCACTCTGTCCACGCACCAAAATGATGGACCACAGATGGAGCCAGAGGGCAGAAGACAGAGTTGACACAATGCTCTGCTCTGTTCCACCCTTCTAAGGGCCATTCCCATGCCAGAAACATGTTTCTCTGCAAGCTTCACCCAGCAGTCTGCTCTTCTGCCAGACCGAGTCTCACCCCGTGCCATGCTCTCACGATGCCCCTGGAGTCCTGGCCGTCTGAATGAAGCCCCCCTCTTGCTTACTCTCAGACTCCCCAGCTTCCTTCTCTGGCCCCTTAATCAGGCTGAGCTTCAGTTTCTAGAATACTTGTCTGAGTCTCACTTGCCTCTCATCACTGGGACCCAGTGCCTAGCCCACGTCTATCATGTGGTTGGCACGCAGCTAATACACAGTTCATAAAGGAACTTTGGTCCAGTATGACATAGCCGTGCCTCACAGATGACACTAGACAACATGTCTGCAAACTGGATCCTCTCACACTTCGAACCCCAGGCCACTCTGGAGGGAGGAAATCTAAGCACGTTCGTGCGTTTAACATTTCTAAACCGTCAGAGAGAATTTTCAGTCTTCAGGTAAAGCAGGTTATGTTCTGTAACTTTTGGTCAATTTAATGTTAAAAAATCAGAGAAATAGAAGTTTCCTAGGAATTTTCCAATATTCCCTATCCAGCTCTGAATGTAGCAGAAGTTGGTGTAAGTGCTTTGCTCATGTTAAATAATTTAGTTCTCACCATATCCATTTGAGTGGTTACTATTGTTAAGACCCTTTCTTTCTTACAGGGGAGGAAGCTGAAGAACAGAGAGGTTAAGTAAGTTTCCCAAGGCCACCGGCCAGTGATTTCATGAGCTAGGGATCATAGCCTGGGACTCTGGCTCTAGTTATCATTATACATATCATTCCTTGGAGTTTATGCTGAAATTCACTCACCAAGCCCATACAACCCTCAGGAACATGCAAACCATTTCTTGCTGTCAAGACTGGCAGCCTTTTGGAATTAACATGCATAAGAGGTAGGTGTGTGTGTGTGTGTGTGTGTGTGTGTGTGTGTGTGTGTGTGCGCGTATCCCTGCCCACATTTCCCAAAGAAATAACTGCATGTCTCCATTATATTTTTTATCATAGCACCAGAGTCACATTCACACTCTAAGTAGAAGCCATCCTTATGGATGAATATTTCCACAACTCCATAAAACAATAGCAAAACACTTTATAGACATCCCAAGGGAATCACTGGGAGGCAGCAGACCAGAAAGAAAGGGGAATTTCTACCAAGAAGGAACATACAGGTATTACCTGGGGGGCTTCAGGCTTTGGCAGACTTCTTTCCACCCAAGTCCATCTTCTGGAAAGTAGGAGACACTCAGGAATGATCCCCAGGGTGTCTGCTCCAGAAAACAGCAGYCACTTCCTCCTCAGGCTTAACGGATCTTTCCCTTGTGCAACACTTCACTAGAGCCAGTGAAAATGTGTCCCTGGCCGATTGGAAGGTGTGCTAATCACATGTGCATTTATGGCCTCTCTGACCATCAGCTTCCCCAAGGCTGAGCAATAAGTAGGAAAGTAACTGTCGGGAGTAACTGTCTTCTGGCTTTGAGATGTTGCTTAACCCATTGTTGGAGCAGAGATGATATCTCGGTCAATGGGAAGGGGTTGTAGAATAGAAGAGGAGAGCTGGTAGAGTTGTGTAGTAAGAAAAGAACAGGAGTAAAAGGGAGGAGGGACAGTGGTCACTGAGACACTTAGACTCTATCCGCTGCCAGCAAAGGTACCAGGTACTTTACATGCATGACCCTGTTCAGTTCTCACAGGTTTTGAAAGGTGAATTCCTTTGTCCAATATCGTAGATTAACAATGCTAATTTAGTGTAAATRCATTCAATGATTACTGTGTACAAGTTACTGTTTACTTGTATAAACTCCTGCTAGCCTCACTGTAGCCCATGACCTAGGTGCTTCCATTAATTCAATATGATGGAAGACAAATCTGTGGCATAGAAATGTTAGCCAGACGTCCTCTCGTTTCATGAATTATCTTAGTCCACTTTCTGCGGCTGTAACACCATACCACTGACAGGGAAACGTGTCGATAACAGACGTTTACTTGGGCTCATGGTTCTAGAGGCTGGGAAGCCCAAGGCCATGGCACAGGCTTCTGGCGAGGGCCTTCATACTGCATCATCACATGGTGGCGGGCCAGTAAGCACCACAGGACAGACAGGATGCAGGCCACACTTCATCCTTGGATCAGGACCCCATGCCCATGAGGACTAACACAACCACAGTGATATTAACCCCTGCCCCAAATCCTGGGCAGCCTGGGTGGCGACCTCCTCAGGCCTTGCACAACTCACTCCCATGGCTTTCCTGGGTTCAGCCCATGCCTCAGCTCACCCAGGTTGCCCTCTCCTGTCTCTGAGACTGGCATAGCATATTGGTAGCTCTGCAGTCCCGGGGTCAGCCGGTACAGCTCTCTGTGGTATCTGCACCCCTGCAACAAGTCTCTGCCTGGGCACCAAGCTGTCCGCAGCACTGTTTGAGATCTAGATGGAGAAAGCCATGTTCCCCCCAGCTCTTAAATTTTGCATACCTGCAGAATGAGTACCTGGTGGGTGCTGCCCGGGTTTGCAGCTGGTTGGTACCTTCTGGAGCAGCGGGTTGAGCCACAGCCAGGCCCACCTGAGCACTGGCTGCGGCAGCTGAGAAGGGCTATTGGAGAATGCTGGGAGCAGGGTCCCAAGGAGAGCAGGGCAGGCAGCCTGTGGAAGGCCTCCTAGAACTTGCTCTTCGACAGGAGGACCGGAGAGGCAGATTTGAAGATCTCTGAAATTCCTCCCGTTACCTTGATGACCCCTCTTCCTATACTTATGTAAAACACTTGCTTGGCTCTCCTAAACAGACCTGTTCATTCTTCACAGGGACAGCCTGTGAATTTTCCAGCTTCCTCTCTGCTTCTCTTTGAATTATAAATCCCATCTCTGAGCGATTTCCCCCCCGTCTTACATTTCCCTACGTGCAGTTAGAGTGGACACATGGAAGCCAGAATGGTTTTCTGCTTAGATATTTCTTTCCCCGGGTATCTTAGTTCATTGCTCTTAAGTTCCTCATTCCAAAAAGGCCCAGGACATGGACATCATTCTGCCATGTGCTTTGCAGCTGTGTCACAAGAATGACCTTTACTCCAGTTTCCAACCCCTTGATCTTCCTCACCTCTGTCTGAGCCCTCATCAAAAGGGCCTTTCCTATCCATAGTACTTACCAACATTCTGGTCGCAACTGCTAAGTCATCTCTAAGAAGAGTCAGACTTTCCCTATGGCTGTCCTCTTCTGAGTCCTCACCAGGACTTCCCACCATGCTCCATGGATGGCAGTACAAGCATTTTCAGGCCATTCTTCCAACTCTTCCCAGTACCCAGTTCCAGGTACTTGGTATCACAGTAGCTCTACTTCTTAGTACCTATTTTCTGTCCTGGTCCATGTTCTTCTGCTACAACAGAATATTGCAGAAGGGATAATGTATAAACAATCGAGGTCTACTTGACTCTTGGTTCTAGAGGAGAGGAAGTTTCAGACCAGGGCACCAGCTTCAGGCAAAGGCCTTCAATGCTGCATCCTAACACGATAGATAGAACTGTTAGCAAGCACCGGCGAGACAGAGGATGGGGCTGAACAGCATTTATCAAGAGCCCACTCCTGAAGCCACTAACCCATTCCTGTGACAATGACAAAAATCGATTGAGGAGGACTCTACCCTCAAAACCTAATCACCTTTTCAAGGTTCCACCTCTTATGACTGTCACAATGGCAATTAAATTTCAACAGGAGTTTGGAGGGGACTTTCAAAACACAGCATCAGCAAAGCCATGTCCAAAACCCAGGTTCTGTGCAGTGTAGAGCCAGAATCATGCCTGGTATCCCAGTGTGATCCTAACAACTGGGATATGCCCATCTCATTAAACACTAGATCATATGCTCATCCTAAATAAACAAGCATCCTTAAATAGGGAGGAAGATGAGAGCCAAGGGACAAGGAGTAAGGAAGTAGGCATTGTGCAAAGATCCGAATTACAATCCTCACAGAGGGTTGCCGCAGTCTGGCTGGGCACAATTCAGGAGCCACTTGTCAAAAGAAACTAACTTTATTTTTAGAACTACAAACGCCAAGCAAAACAGCTCCTCAGGAAAAACCCTCAAAGCCCAACTGCCACCACCGGCTTCCACAAGCCTCTCACCACACAAACCACTCCACCTCCCACAATCCTCCTGCTCTTGAGGCCGATTGGCTGGGTCGYGTGGGCRGAGCCAAAGAAGTCCCCCAATGAGCAGTTCYGTAGTCTGAAGGGCAGRGAAACAGCCCAATGAACATCACCGCAGAGGAGCCAATCAGCTAGATGTTGCTGGGGCCGCTGTGAGCCAATCATCAGCCGGCAGCTGGAAGTTTGCTGGCAGCTGGAAGTTTGCTGGGGCCCCTTTGGCTGTGGCTCTCAACAGAGGGTCACAGGGCAGGGCCTGGGAGGGGGGCCCAGAACAGCGGGGCCACAGGAGAAGTCAGTGAGAGAAAAATGCATGCAGCAGAGTGAGGTCCCAGGCCCAGGAACCAGAGCATAAACAGGGACAGTTCACAGGTAAGAGAAAGAGGATCGGGTTCCACAACTGAAGGGCAGTTCAGGGACGGAGACTGTGCACACGGGGTGAGCAGGGGACCAGCGTCCAGGAAAACACACCACACAGGAGCTCTGCAGCCAGGGCTGGCAACTGAGCCTGGGGCCCAGGACCTCAGCAGAAGCCAGAAGGAACTGGTAGAAAGGACGGTGGTAAAAGATGTGACAACCCCCTCTCACCCCATTTTAGCCAAAGCCACTGCAAAGGGAATACTGAAAGTGCCCTGAGCAAAGGAAGGAAGAAAT